CGGGGGTGTGGCGGGGGGGATGGGGAAAAGCATTTCAGAGTCATGAGAATTTGAAACTGTGAAGTTTATTATGTTTGGAAAAGTTTCCTAAGGTTGTTTTTTTTTTGGAACAGTATACGCGATCTTCAAAACTTTTTGAACTAAAATCTCCATATTCATTTTAATCCTGTCCCCATAATAAGAGTGCATAAGACTATTTAGATAGTTATGTGCTTAATTTTAAGGTTACTCATGATGCCTGTGTGAACCTTGGGAAGTGCCTTGAGGGCTTATGTAGATTTTAAAATTTCATATACCAAACATCTTATTCAGAATAATAAATCACACAAGAACATTATGTGTAGTCTTAAATTTTATAAGCCAAGAGAACTGGTTCTAGGAATTTAGAAGCTTAACAAAAAACTACTGCAGTAGTTTCCGGCTTCTGTAAAACTATTTAGTTTCAAATTAGAATGTAAATTCTTCAGTGTGTTTTTGTCAGATGTGTTTGTACCTTTGCAATGGGGCCCTGATGCTGACTGGGGCTTTGATTAGTTCAGAAATACAAATAATAATACATAAGAATTATAATTTGTACATACCTCTGTTTAAGCACCATGGTATTATGTACATGGAATAAGGACTAAGCAATCATAAAAAGATCAGCAGCCATCTCTCAGAAAGACTAAATAAGCACAGGTAGAAAACCTGTGAGATGTGTTTTCTTTTCTTGAGCTCTCTGATTGCGTAATTGCCTTTAATTCTGCACAAAGCAAATGTTGCCTAAGAGGGTTTAAGGGCTGATATAAAGAAGCATATACTTACTATGGTGAAATTGTTTAGACTGATGTTCTATCGTTCTTCAAGTGTGAATTTTCTACTGAACTTTTAAAATTTGTTTAGGGCATTTTACCAGAGGGCAACTGTTTTAGTGGCACTGTTATGTATTCTTTGGATGTTTTATTTGGATATAAACTGCAACCATGTAACCATGACTATCCACAGGATGATGGATTTTAACTCTTTATTGAATATGCAGGTAGTTCTGTGTTTTGACTACGGTCAACATTTGCTCTCTGAAAGAGGAACCATTGCATTTAAATAAATTTTAGGAGAAAGCACTGAAATCTGAATACTGTTGCTCCTCCTGTGACAGCAGCTGTAAAGTCCATGTCTTTCTTTCTATCCTCAGCATCTGTAGCCTCTTATCTGGCTTCCCAGTTCTTTCCCCTACAGTCTAACCAAGAACAGCTTTCTGTGTTTCTGCCCTCCCTGCTGGGTTTTTTTTTTTAATTCTTCAGTGCCTATCATGTTACCTTCTTTCTTCTCTCCCCTCCTTTCTTTGAAACTTCACCCTGGTTTCTGCTCTCCATTAATATTAACTTGAAGCATTTTTCTTACCTTGTAGGATCTGCCCCACCCCAGCCCCATTCAGGTTAGAAAATGCGACATGTTAGAGAGAGACCTATGCCCTCTGCCCCTGGGGCTTGATCCTGCCCCAGAGTTTTGCTAGTGGTTCATATGGAAATGGAATCCTTTATCTCTGTCATCCGCTCCTGACTTTGAGCCTTGTTTGATGCCACCCTTTATGACGGAAAAAATCCCCCCCATTCAGCTTTGCCTAGCTTCCTCAGTCTCCACCTTCATGAAGTTCTGGAGATCCATCTGTTCTGTGAGAGATTCAGCTGTAGAGATGAGCCCTCTATTGAGTTTGCTGTGTATTTCATTCTCTTCTCTTTGCACCTGTGCTTTTACAGTCCAAGCTGCTTGGAAAAGGGGCTCCAGTTTGAATAGCATGTTTGATCATCTGAATAGCACTTTGTAAGCAAATCTCTTCCACAACAGCAAGGGGAAGGCAGAAAATTACAGGCAGTACACAAAAGCGGTGCAATTCAAAAGCAATGGCAGCATTGAAAAGCAGTGCAGAGCAGCGTGAGGACAGCATACAAAAGCACTGCACACTGCCCCCTCCCTGTTGTGGAACAGGGTTCTTGTGCCTGAGGAACAGCCATTGCTGCGAGGTGCTGAGCCTCCTCCGGCCTACCGCCTTCCCTGGGAAGTTAAAGGGAGGGGACTCAGCTTCTGTCGCACAGGACCCGGCTGTTGAATGCTTTTGCTCTCACAGCTCATTTTGCAAACGAATGCTGCAATCAAATTTTAATCCGGTGTTTGTGATACCGTGGGAGGGGGGGTGCAATGGGGAAAAGCCTGGAGCAGGGGATGTGGGGGCATCTGTAAAGATGCCTGGTGAATTATGCTGATAAAAGGATATGGCAAACTAGGTGTGTTGCATTTACTAAACTTCTTTTTTTTTTTTAAAGGACATTATGGGGGCATCTTCAGGGTTACCTGACCAGCTCAACAGATAAGAAAAGGATACTATACACTAGGTGAATTGGGTTTCAGAATTTCATTCAGATTTCTTTAATTGGCTAGAAGAATTCATTGGGCTGTTATTAAATTAAAAATAAGCCTTCAAAGATGTCTGCCCAGTTCAACCGGTAAGAAATGGATGGGGCAGACTAGGTGTGCTGAGCTGCAGGATTTGGCTTTGGTGTTTATTTGCCTTTGGATTTAACCAGCAAGTGAATTTGGACTGTCATGGCATTAAAAAAAAAAAAAAGCAGCATCTTATTTAAACCCACAGGTCTTAAAAGCGAACTAGTCAAGGGCTCTGTTTGATTTCTGTTGCCTCCTCGAGCGTCTGGGAGCAGCCTGGAAAGAAACCTCCGGCGCTCGGGGCAGCCATTGCCGGGAACGGCAGCGAGCGGGGTGTGCGGTACTTCCCTCCCCTTCCAGTGTGTGTGTGCATGCGTGTGAGAGAGGGAGGGAGTAGCTGGCGCTGCCCGCGGCCTGGCTGTGGTGTGGGCCGCAGCCGCCGACGCAGCTCCGCGTTTCCCCACGCGGTGAAAGCTCCTGCCAGGCAGCAGCGGCGGCATGACTCCCGGGCACATTTCCCGGCCCGGCTGCCGGCTCCAAGCTGGAGGCCGCGAGCTGGGGCCGGTCTCGCCGCCGGGGGGCGCTCAAGCTCGGGGAGGGGCCCTGCGTGGTTTGGTTGAGCGGCAGCCCTCGCCCGCCCCTCG